CTCCAATGAACTTCAACTCACTCTCAAGACTCAAACGTCACCCACTTTGGGAGATGTCACTGATTTCCCCAGCCACTTTTAGATGTCCTTTTCCATTCTCTGACAGCATTTTGATTTAATGTATCTGCATTATAGAAAAGGTATGTGCTTATATATTAGCTTTTATTACTAGCCTGTGAGCTCCCTGATCTCTTCAGTTTGTATTTTGTAAGCCTTCATGCAATGATCAATATAGTCTGAAATAAGAATTAGAATAAATAATTGCTTCCTCTCACAATTATCAGAGCTGTGTTAGGCATTAAAGTCATATTATTCTCCTTGAGCATGCAAATATTATTTTCCAGTTCTTTTTCATTATGCGTTGCTCCAATAAACCTATCTTTCCTAAGATGATTCTTGAAGAAAGGGTAGAAAGTGTGTATCATTCTGTTCCCTTACTTTTCACTTATGTATGTATTTTTCTTGATTTTAAGAGAGAAGAATGGATCATTTCTTTTTTGACAACTTCTCTTTCTGCTTCTTGAAGTAAGAAGTTTTACGTCCTTGACTGAAGGTTGTAATTCCACTGCTAGCTCCCTTTCACTTAGGACACAGAAAATGAGGTAAGTTCATCTTCTTGGGTCACAACTGCTTCATTTGTAAATGATTATAATGGGCTGGATGCTTCTAAGGTGCTGCCAAGTCTAGTTCTGCAGCCTCTGAGTAAGTGTTTCCACAGCATCATGTTGCTTTACTGGACTAGGTGTTTCACATCTTGTTAAATGACTGTAAAATGAAACCCTTCCCCATGAATGTTTAATGAACTTAAGGGAATGCCAGACACAGACAATTCATTTGTTAAACACTGCAATTTGCCAAGAATTTCAAGTAGTTAACCTGGGCTTCAAGATAAAACAAAGACAGATTTGCCTGATATGGTATGTAATTTCTCCTCCCAAGGATTGTCCTGTACCAGCCAGCTTCCCTGTGATAGAAAAAAAATGCTCCCCTTGGGATAACTATTAAAGGACTCTTGTTAGGTGCTCAGAATTTCTCAAGGGTCTCATTCTGCAAATTGAGTTGGGACTCTGGATTTCGTCAGCACTGTTGACATTAGAGAAGGATTATTTTCTTTGGTTGGGGGTTATCCTGTGCATTCAGATGTCCTATTAGCATATCTGGTCTCTAACACTACATGTCTATAGCATTTTCCTTCCAAGTTGTAACACCCAGTGTTTTCAGAGGATGACAAATGTTCCCTGGGACATAACTTCCCTTTGAGAACAACTGAGTTAAATGGATAAGTGTTTGCCTCTCAGCTATTCACTTGCTGTCTGACAGAGAATCACTTTCTCAAGCTTTCATCTCCATTTCTGTCTTCTGAACATTGTAGGTATAAATTAAGTAGCTGTTGTTAAGACTAAATGAGACACTGTATTAACATTTTTTAGCCTGATTCTGTACATTTACTTTGTACATATTATTTGCTATTGTCATTATTTCATTATTTTTAGCTGTTATTTTTGGCATTGGTTCTTTATCCCAACTCTTGCCAATGGAAAAAAAAATTATACAGAACCTACAAAGGAAAAAATGCTTTCCCAAACTTTCTTCATTATATTTCACTTAAATGTGAATGCAGAAAATTTCAGTCACACATTAGATTTACTGCTCTCCCTAAGAAGACTTGTGCTACCTGGCCTCCAAAGCACAGATGCCCTAGATGTATCACCTTATATATCTTAAACACAGAATTGAAGCAAATACGCTTTTCAGTTCCTTTTTAGTGTGTTATTTATATCGATTTTCCATTAGTGTTTCTTACCATAACATATGGCATGAAAAATTGTAGTCAAATTATTATATAATTCTTATAACAAAATTATGTACAAAAGCATAATTTGCCAAATAGGAAATATAACTAGAAATACGTAGACAGAGATTATACTACACTACAAATAAATGTATTTTTAAAATAAAAGACCATTTTTCCTATTAAATTAGCAAAAAAATTGTTCACAAATGTGTAGCAAAGCTGGCAGTGACCCATATTACTTTCCAGTACTGAAATGGATACTTGCCTTTGGGAAAGAAACTTGTTCATCAGAGTCTAGTCTCTTTAAAACCTGCTGAGGTGGTCCCTTGAGCCCAAGTTGGCAGAGAGTAGAATGCTATGGCTGCACACATATAACACATATAACTTTTCTATGCAGCTGGCCTCTCATTTTTCAGGGTTTTTAAATGCACAAAATGTCCTTCCTTTTGTATCTACTCTCTGCTTGAACTCTTAATTTCTGTGAAGTTCTTTAGATAGATAATTCCTTGGAATGTGTTATCCTAGCTGCCCATTTCACAACTCAAGAAAAAATGTCCTGTATATTCTCTTTATACAAAGTTGGGATGAACATAGGAAAACACCTTTGCACATCCTATCTTGGCCCCTGAGAGAACAATCTTGTTGACTCTGACCTGACTTATAGGATCTACTGCTGCTGTCCTGTGTTAACATAGAAAACATACTGAAGGGGAGGGAAGAAGGAGAGAAAAAGAAAAAAAAATGCAACCAAAATTCTTTCAAGAGTTGGAACTCCAACAGCTGGTAATATCTTTCTTATAATTCCAGTCAAATGAGTGGTGAGGAGCACATGAGTGAAGAGTTACTGTTAAGAATGCAAATATTTTTTCATTGCACTTGTATGCTTATTGCAGCACTATTTATAATAACCAAATTACGGAAACAACTTAAGTGCCCAACAATAGTTGTGGAATATATACACAATGGAACACTATTCAGCTACACAAAATATTAATTCTTCCCATCTGCAACAACATGGATGACTGCAAAATAAATCAGGAGAAAGACATACACGATGTTTCCACACATAAGTGGAATATAAAGACTCCAAACAAAGGAACAGAAAATAATAATTAAAAAATCCCTTAGAAATTTGACTTTAAACTTGAAGATACCAGGTGGGAGTATGGAACAAAGTGAGGACTATGGTGGAATTATAAGTGTTTTGGTGGTAAGTGTGTTTGTGTAACATACATCTGAACAGGTGTATATGATTTGTGGGGTCCAAATCATCTACAATGTTGTAAACAATTGTTGTTTCAATAAAAAAAAATGAAATAAGTTTAGCTCATAAAATCTGCTTATAGATTCTCAGGACTAATTGCTTCATCCACCCATCCCCACAACAAAAGAATGAACTCTAACATAGTTTCTAACTGCTCAAAGTTACATCCCTAGGGGGACAGGAGCTCTTGTTAAAAAGCCAACCTAAGAAGAAAAAAAAAAATAAGTTCTCAAAAATATTTACTCTTTAGTCTGACCAACACCTGAGCATAGGCCCTGTCCTCACTTTCTTAGAGCACTCACTAAAAAGGACTTACAACTATAAACTTTCTTTCTGTGAGAGGTATATCCATTGCCTACAATTCAAGAATGTCTTTCTCTAGGACCTGAAAGCCATTTATTCAAAATGTAATCATTAGGAAGGCTAAGATATTCATCTCCAGGTCACTATAAAAGTATAGAATTCTAAGTTTAGCAATTGCTAGCTGAGAGACACAGCTCTCTTAATAGCATTTACAGTGACCAACTCATTATTTTTCACTTCATTTCCCTAACTGTCAAGCTCCAGATTTCCTCCCTTCCTACTCCATCTTTCCCCTTTTAAAACACCCAGTTACCTATGTACGAACAGAAGTTGAGTTAAATACACACTGGACCCTCTTCTGCAACAGTGATTGGCTTTGTTTATCGTTGTTAGATGCAGTTGCAAAGAAAGTGACACCCGCTATCACAGCAGGAGTTTTAGTGTGTGGGATAATAGAAATCACTAGAAAAATGATTCCCTCTATTTCAGAAATGAGCATTCCCCACACATAGCCATGAATAAAAGTTTAACTAAACTTTGCTGGGAAGCAATTCTGATTTATGAGTCCCACAATAAACATCTAAGTACATCTGTTGTGTACAACATAATGGTGACTTCTGGGTAATGATTTCTTAGAATTACAAATGATATATAAATTCCCAGTGATTTATGCATTTGGAGGGGTGTGAATATGTCCTGGATGATTGCCTATTATGCTCAAATACTAGGTTTATACCGTGGCCTTTGTTCTTCAGTTTTGTGCCTCAGAATCTGGAAGTACAATCTTCTGGACGGGAAAAGAACTGCTACCCTAAGAGAATATTTCAGTATGTCTTAGGCAGAATTTGGTTGCCTTTGATTTAGTGTTTTGAAATATATCTCAGAGATGATGAAAACGACTTTTAGAAAGAATTTTGGAATTGGAGATTTTGCTTTTAACTTTGATTTCTGATGTCTCTTTGAGGCCCGGTGTTAGGAAGACTCTGGAACCATGAGTGAGTCTACTCTGGCTTTCTCATACACCTTACCTTGGAGTTTCCTGAACATACCAGGCAATCTTGGGATTTCGTGGCCTTATTATTTCTGTTTTCTCTAATTTCTTGTCCTTAGCTCTTTGGCTGTCTGATGAAACTTTATATTTTTTTAAAACCCAGTTCAAACCTGACTTTGTTTTGAGTCAGGCAACATACCTACCCAACCCAATTCCCATTGGTCTCTTCTTCATCAGTCTCTGCTGTAATGTCAAACAGCTCAGTCCACATATCCCCTCTGGTTCTGGTATTTGCATTTTGTACTACACATGAGTTCCCACACAGGAGGGAACATGACATCCCTTGGTTTCCAGCACAATTTCTGATACCAAGTAAAGATTCAGTGTTTACTTTACAAACAACTGAAGCTCTTTTTATACCAGAGATTAATTTATACCGCAGATTGTCATCAAGAGCTGAGAATGAATTTTTCTCTCTTTCTTCCAGCACATGTGCACACGCACACACATAGAACTGCAAGATGATTTAAGCAGAACACTACAAAAATTTGAAAAAATTAAATAAGTCTGGTCACAGGCTCCCAAACCACTCTGAACTGAGCGCCCTGAGGTGAGCTGCAGGAGGAGAGACACAGACATTAACTTACATTCTGCAGTTGGACATGATTCTTCATCAAGTTCTCTGACTTTGCCATTGCACTGGATGATTTAAGACTGTAGTTTTTACCATTTTGTGGCTCTTTCAGCTGTTCTTGGATTTGTTTAGCTTGTTTCCTGTAGGTTTAAACAAATGTATAAATGCATAAATTTATTCTATTCATATTTTTGGATGCTCATTCATATCCAATGTCTATATTTGTCATTTGTTAAAGCTGGGTACCCTCAGTTAACAGAGAAACTTTTTCTCATTTTCAACCCCAAGAAATACTCTCAATTTAAAGAGAAGCTGGTATAATGCAGGTTTAATACCCAATGCAGGCTATCATCATGCAGGGATTAATATCCAATGGCCCTTCAAAGGCAGACAGAAACATAATGTATTGTCTTGGCCCCCTAAATACAAGAGGCCCCTAACCCTGTGTCAGCGGCAAAAAGTTGAAAATGCTCTGAAGAAATGGTCAATGGGAAAAACTCAAGTTTGAACCTGGCAGTGACATATAACACACACTTACAAAGCGACATTATATATGTGCCATTTAAATATACGTTTCTTGATTACATGACTTTCACATATGCTATAATCTGTACATATTTTTTTCTTTTACAATTTAGAAAGAGCTCATTTGGATCAACCCTGAATGTGAAGATTTATAACTGCCTCACAAATAATAAAACAATAGTTAACTGTTAAAGAGTACCTACTATGTGCTAAGCATCACTTTAAGTATTTTACATGCATCAACTCATTTATTTTATTTTTTAAAAAAATATTTTAATTTTTAACATAAATTTTATTTTTTAACAGGTCAGAGGTGCAGGGGTGGGGGGGGTAAGAGGTTTCACCAGAGACAGAGTGGGGAGCAGAACAGGCAGATCTACGAAATACACTGCTGAGAGGAGCAGTGGGGTGAGCAGGAGAGGTTTGCTGTGCCATGTTGGTCACCTCCCTGGCTGGGGATCAAACTCGTGCTGCAATGCCTGAGAATAGCTTCATTGTGCTGAGACTTAACCCCTTGCATCACCAGGGAGGCCCCTCAACTCATTTATTTTTCACAATAATTCTGTATGATGATGCCACAATGCTGTACTCATCTGAAAGGTGAGAAAACTGAGGCAAAGTGTTGTTCAATAATTTCCCCAGAGTCATATAATTAGTAAATGGTAGGGTTAAATTTGAAATGCCTGCATATTCCGCACTTTCAAAAACCACACAGAACTGTCAATTCACTGGTCTCTGGTTCTACAGCTTTTCAGCTGAGAGGATTTTTTAAACTCCAAGTAAAGTGCATATGTGGGGTGAGTGTTAGAAGGTTCATTCAATGGTTATACCAGAAGTTTGAAACAGATTACTGCCTTATTAGATGCTTTAGCCCAAGAGCTTCACAACCATTTATCAGCAGAAAACTGAGTACCACACATAAAGAAAGCTTTGTAGTCTCACTCCCCGTGCAACCCCCTAATCTTTCGCTTCTTCCCCAAGGTTCCTGTGAAAGATGGAGGAGAATGTGATTTCTTGCAGTGAGTTTCTCCTGGAAGGCAGCACTCTATGGAGCATCGACTGCAGCATCAGAGGGGCTGGCATTTGAATCCCTGCTCTATTGACCATCAGTTTTGTTTTGATGTTCTAAATCAAAATAATTGATTTTGTTAACTTTTCTGAGGCCCTGTTTTCTCATCTCTAAATGGGGTTTATAAAAGCAAGCTGTCATGGAGAGTGAGGAAATTAAAGTGAAAGCACATGTAAAATGTTGATCTTCTTTCTTCCTCATTTAGCAAGCTCAGTTGTATGAGCAGATGCTGCAGAGGAATTAGAACGTTGGCCCAAAGATAAAAGGAAGATCATATTAATTGCAACTCTCACAAGCAAGTCACATTATGTGCGACAGGATTTGGAGGCTCTGAGCGTCATTGCCTCCTTTGAATTTACAACACCAATGTGATGTAATTGTTTGTTTAAATATTTCTTTTATCTTTTCAATTATTTGGGGGACTTTTATCTCCAGTACTCTTGGTTACTTTAATCCAGTTATAATGGTCTCTTTACTTCCTAACAGCTAATCTGTAGCCTATTGTGAAAAATAAATCTATCATATCAACATGTTAAGAAGCACATCACAGCCTCAAAATCCCATCAAGGATTCACTGATAAAGCAAATGGGAGATCAGGAAGTTCTCCCTGGTAAATCACCATGAAGCAGTAAGAGGAGGTTTGACAAAGAGGAAGCACACAATTACTCCAAGAATTAAATAGTAAAAATACTAATTTTTCAGTAATTCCAAAATTCAATATCTGGGAAATGTAAACTTTTAAAGGATGTTTGTGTTTCCTAAAACTTGTAATAGTTTGCTTTCCTTTACTCTCTTCTCACTCAAGTCACTAATATTCCAGAATAAATGGACTTCCCTCCTGAGTTTGCCTCCTTCTCTATCATGCCTCCCTTCTCACAAGCACTTATAATATATTTAGCTCCTTCCTCCTTCCCCCAGCAAATGGGAACAGAGGAAAGACACATCTGATTCCATGATATACCATTAGATCTCTGCAGAGAGCAGTGTGAACACTGTATAACACACTGAGTTTTAAGTTTTCTTAGCCTAATGCATCCAAACAAAAATAAGATGTAAGTTGTAGAACTTCAAATGTCACGAGTCCGTGGGTAGACATTATTTGTTATGTTGCAAGTTGGGTTCTGGGGAAGCAGACATTTGAGATGGAAGAAGAATGCAGGATTTTTATTAGTGGTGACTTTTGGGATCAACACATGTGGTAGCAAAAGGAAGGCAACAGGAGTGGGCAGAGGGCAAAGCTGAATGTGATGCTGTCTCAGTAAAGATCTCAGCAACTCCCCTGAGGCCTCTGAAATTGGAAAGGCCTCACATAAGTTGGGGTGAAAGTCTAGGTCTTCAGAACCCTACACTGACCTGTCATCATATGAGGGCTGTGTCAGGGCACAGCATGAGCTGGAGAGAGCTGCTCTATCACAATTATGTATTAGCGACTGGGAGACTAAGACCTTCACTGAAGAAGAAAATCTTAACAGCACTCTGCCTGTCCTTAAGACAATTTCTTTGTGATGTAAAATCTCCTCCCTTAGACAATGATAACTTCCTTGCAGGGCAGGTTGCTTCCATATCTTTCTTTACTCTGGCATCAATTCTGCTTTTTCCTCCTCTGCTTTCCCTGTTGTGATAATTATCAGTCTTGCTGCCTCCTGGTGTATCCCTTCTCCTATTGCAATTCATTTTTAGAATTGAATCATGTCATGCATTTTCAGTCTATTAAGAACTTCTACAGTCATCCTCAGACTTCATAACCACATCAGTTGAAAACAAAAAGAAAATCTAGAAGAATATATAGTTGTCATATGAGCCATATCAATCAGATTGAGAGGCTCAATCAATAGTTTTATTAACTACTTAATGGGAATATATGGGTTTATTGGGAGTAATAAGAAAATTTATTGTATTCTTTAGAGCTGTTGGAGGTTCAATTTACTCAGAATACTCTCTAAATTCAAGAAAGTGTTGCTTATTTCTATCTCATCTTATTACTTCAAACTTTCATCAGCTAATAATTTGCTATAATACTCCTCTGGTGAAGTCAAGGTGACAATAGAGTGAAGAAAGAACTGGAATGGCAGATCTGAGGGACTGTGGGAAGTAAAACAGAAATGACTAAACAAATGTGAGTTTTGAGGTTAAGTCATAACTCTCTCCAGGCAGAAACTATACATCCCAGTAGACAGAACTGAGATTTTAATTTTTTTAAATTTATTTTTATTTTTTAATTTTTTTTTTTATTTTATTGATTTTTTAAAAAGATTTATTTTTATTTATTTATACAAGCACTGGGTACAGTCAGAAGCGCGGGAGGGTGAGAGAATTCACCAGAGTCAGAGCGGGGAGCAGAGCAGGCAGAAGGACCGAAGTACACTGCTGAGGGGAGCAGCGGGCAGCAGGAGAGGTCTGCGCGCCATGCGGGACCCTTGCCCAGCGGCCGGGGATTGAACCGGCGCTGCAGAGGCTGCGGGCAGCTTCGCAACCCAGTGCTCAACCACTGCGCCACCGGGGAGGCCCAGAACTGAGATTTTTAAGTGAATTTATTTGTCAACAAATGATAGAGAAGCCCTAGAATTTTGGAAGACTTGGGACTTCCAAATGAAATAAAAAAAAATTGTGTGTGTGTGTATAACTTTATGGTATGTATGAAAACTAAGATCTACCTATTCAGTTTCCACCCCCCCCAAGGATTTGGGAGGGAAATTAGAATTCTATGAATGAGCATAAAAAAAAAAATCATGCCAGGATGCTATAAGAACTTACATTGCTTTCAGTACTACAGATTAGGGGCTTGGTCTGGGATGTGGCATTCCTCTCAGGCAAAGTAAAATAAAGGAAGACCATACTGGAATAGTACTAGAAAAAGGTCTCTGTAAAAAATAAATCTTGTTCATTTTTTTATTGCTTAATTATATATACATTTCCTTATTTATTCATATTTTAATAAAAATGTACCAGCTGGGCAGGCATAGAGACAACATCTTTATTAGTCTTCCCCTACTGGCTGAGTTCTCTGAGCCTCCCATCATGAATGTGGCATTGAGCTATGTTCCACTAAACCTGCTGACACCTTGTTGAGCCCCCAAAGGAGACATTTTTCTCAGAGTCCATTTGCTGCCCAGGGAAGGAGAGATTGACAGCCCTGAAGACGGAAATCCTCTAGCTACCCAGCTGCTCTCCATTTTTGTGTTAGTCATAAACATTCTTTCCTTTAAATGTGGTACAAGTACAAATTACACTCTAAAAATAGGTGATTAACTACTTTTTCATAGTAATTTGCTTATTGTTAAATATACAATTTGTTTCTCGTACACTTGTGTGGAGCCCTTCGAACACCCTGCCGAGTTTGATTACCCCTCTCGTGCTCCAGGGCACACGCTTCACTTTGTAGTGCCCCAGCCTCTGTGCTCCAGTGTGGAAAGCTAAGTGCTAACAACAGCAAGCCTTCCTGAGTATTTACTCTTGTAAACACTATGCTGTGCTTTTGCAGTATTATTCCATTGAATTGTTAACAAATTCTATGAGGTAGGTATTTTAATCATATTTTACCAGGAAGGAAACAGGTGAAGAGGTTGGATGTGATTTGCCTCGTAATACAAAACAAACAAGTGGCAACCTAATAATTTAAAAATGGGTATGGCTAGTGCATGTGAAACCCTGACCACTGGCCCCATGGTCTCCCCTGGAGAACACTGCGTCCCATGGGCTGCACCAAGCAGGCTGCCCTGATTCTCTCTAAGCAGTGTCCCCAGACCACAGGAGTGCTGTGTGTGCCCATATGATATGGTGGACATTTCAAGAACCCACCTACTGTGTGGTGTTTTTTTAAAAAAGATTTATTTATTTATTTATACAAGAACCAGGGTACAGGCAGATTCGGGGGAGGGTGAGAGGATTCACCAGAGACAGAGTGGGGAACAGAACAGGCAGACTGACGAAATACACTGCTGAGAGGAGCAGCGGGCGAGACAGGAGAGGTCTGCCGTGCCATGTGGAACCCTTGCCTGCTGGCCGGGATCAAACCGGCGCTGCAGAGGCTGCAGTCAGCTTCAGATAGCAGTGCCCAACCGCCTGCACCACCAGGGGAGGCCCTATATTAGCATTTTTAAATGAATACTGATATTATTTAAAATGTTTGGCCATAATGCACAATTGTATTTATTGTGAGCTTTGGAAGATGATACATGCAAAACCTAATTCCCTGACAAAGAGTAAGTGTTGAAAATGGGGACACTAACAACTGTGACAAGCAACAGTTGCCTAGGAGATGTGACAAGTAAATGTAATGTGGAATCCTGGATGGGATCCTGTAACAAAAAACACATTAGGTAAAAACTAAGAAAAGTTGAAGATATGAACTTGGGTTAGTAATACTGCAGCAATACCGTTTCATTAATTTTGACAAGTGAAATGTACTGATGTGAGAGATTAATAACAGAGGAAACTGGGTGTAGGGGATAGGGGATTTTTCTGTATTATTTTCTGTATTATTTTTAGTCATCCAAAAATCTGAACCTATTTTGAAATAGTTTATTAAAAATAATAGTTGCTAATTCTAGGTCTAAGTCCAAGTATCTATTATTATTTTTTTTAGATCATAATTGTTGTCCTTTTTAAAGATCAACATACATGGTACGCAGACAGGGATCACAGACTATATCTGGAAATTGATCCATTTTTAGAAGAGCAAATGAGTAGAAAAATATAGGTCTGATGAAAAGCGATTACACATTGGCTTGGATTTCAGACAAGCTGTAAGAACAGAATCTGTGCCAATTTCTTAAGATATGTGTGCCTTACAAGAAACCGAGGGATTTAATGGTTTTTATCTACATTTCTCACTTTAAGTGCAGACTATGCCACTTCCATAAATAAAATGTCCCTGTCAGACTTCATATGGAATATATATATGTATTATATGTATGTATATATTTTTATTAGTTAAAAATAATCACCTTTCTCTGCAGAAGATCTGGTTTCTTAGCAAAGAAATGATAAAACACAGTTGAGATGTGCATACCAACTGATAAAACAAAATATATTTTATAGTATTCATATTTCATATTTGATAAAAATCTTTTATGGGTATTAGGTAAAAACATTATGAAAGGGAAACTGTGATTTGTTTTGCTTTATCAGAAAAAGCTATATATGGTTGACATTTTGGCTTACATTTTGGCTTATTCAGAATAAATAACCCCTTAGTGACAGGCAGGCCCCACTGAGCCTTTAATTTAGACAAGTGATCACAAAGTGCAAAATAAAGAGAATATTCATCATCATAGAGAGGAATTACAATTATGTGTATCAAAGATAACCCCCATCACACACACACACATACACACACACACAAAACACACACACATACATACACTTGCTGTATACCCTCGCCACAGTCTAAAAAGATTCTAAGTCATCTGTGGATGTATGATGAACCCATTTGCACAAGATGCCTCCTTGGAGCAGACTGAGAACTTAAAGTACTTCCTCTGAGAAGTAACCTTTTAACACTAGAGAGAAATGGTCTTACTTGCTTTTGAAGTAGAATGCTGCACAGAACATGCCCACGATGACAATTCCAAAGATGATACATGAAATTGACAGCACCTGCCTTTGATACACTTCTTCACTCTCTGTGAATTTGAAAAACAGAATTACAATGGATGTTAGCAGGGCACAGCAGAGACAACCTTCATCCTTGTACTTCTGAGCTGGTAGGGTTCTTTCAAAGCAAACTTTTTTGTTCCTGTCATGATAGAAAAACATAAGGAAGTTATGATTTAATTTCTTTTTAATGCTCTCTAGAATAGTTGTTTTTTTTTTGTATTTATATGGCTAAATCAGCAATCATACACTGATAATACAATTATGATTCTTATTATCAAAATATATCCATGACTTTGGGACGCACCAGGAACATACATTTTTTAAGTTATGATGGGGCTCAAAATAATCTGCTAGAGAAAAAAAATGTGTGTTCATCAGAAATTTTCTGTGCCAGTGATGATTTCTAATTTATTTTATATACTACAGATGCCACTGTGTTTTTTGATTTGGTCCTTGGCTGTCAGTGTCCCTTTCATCTACCTGCTATATGATTGACATCACTAGTGAAAGAGAACTTGAATATGCATGTGAATATTTTACTCACGGATTATACGACTTCTTCAGTATCAGTGATCTGGCATGGAAATCACTTCCTATGTTACCAAGGTTATATCCTGGAGCTTATTACAAAAAACAACAAAATTTCAAAAACAACCATTACACTTTTAAGCCACTACCATTTACACTCTCAGCTCATTTTCTACAGTATGTCTACTGAAACAGTACTTTATTTCATCAAAACCATTTTTTCCATAGGCTCAGAATTTTCTCTTACTCATCTTCCTTGTTTCCCTTTTTTATACAGCACAGAGACCACGATCCATGATTACAACCATTCATTCTCTTGTAAAAACCTTCACCTATTGTATCCCTTTCTCCCTTCCTTTTATCCATTTGTTAAAATAGCTGTGTATGAATTCAAGAAACTGCCTTCTTCATGCCTCTACCTTGAGAAGCTCAGAACTGGGAGAGACACTACATAACTGAGAAGACAGATGTCAATAAAGGCTGACAATCACATTGCTTAAGTCAACATCTAATAGTGACTAAAAATCTCATCAACCTGCTTCTACATTTTCCTGATCATTATCCATACATTCTCCACACAACTCAAACATCTGACTTACTCTCCCTCCCTTACTCTCAGATCTTCCATACATGTTATACAGGAGAGGAAGTCAGAATAGAAGAAATCATCTCCATTATATACACAAAATATATGCAACATTAACTGCATCTGTGTCTATTCTTCTTGTATTACTACAAAGCAGTAGTTCTCAAACATTTGTGTGCACTGGAGTCACTTTAAGAGGTATTGAAGTACACACTGTCACCTACTTCCCCCCGTCCCCAGGATTATTGACTTAGTAGATCTCAAATTGGGACAAAACTAATCCACAGTAAGGGAAAACATGCAAGTGGATTTGTGGTGTCAGAGTGGGATATGATGGAGGAAAGTGACATGAGGAGACTTTCAGGAGTTATAGACATGTACCTTATCTGAGATACGAGTGACATTTTATTGGCTGAATATGTCAGAATGTATAAAATAGTAAATTTTAAGTGATTTACTTTATAACATTTATAGTTGTAAAAATATTAATCCTGGAAAATAAATGAATATAGGTCATATGTAGAGAATATACAGACAATAAAATAGCACATAGTCTTCTAGCCTCCTTTTATGATTTTGCTCCTATAAGCCATTCTCCATATAGCAAGCAATATAAACTTTTTAATAGTTATATTAAATTACATGCATGCTTGTATATATATATATGTACATGAATGAATGCATACAAATAGATCTAGACTTAGATGTTTCTTTAAAAGTTTGTTATTGGTTCTCTATTAAACTTATAAAAATATCTCAACCCTTAATATGATCTAAAAGGAACTGCCTGCTATGAGGCCATTCACCTATACTAACCTCTCTTCTTTTCTTTTAACATGTCTAACCTTTAATTCGTCAGAACCTTGATATATGCTATTCTCTTTCTCTCCCTAGAATATTGTTCCCATATTTGTCTTTAAAATGCCTACTCACCATTTTGATCTCAAATTAAATGTCACCAGCTAAAAAAATCCTGCACTATACTTGCAAACATCATTGGTACAGGGGCCACATTTTTTTGTTGATTTATTCATTTGACTCACCACTGTTTCCCTAGCACCTAGTGCAGAGCTTCCCACATAATTGATACACAAAGACTTGTTGCCTAGTGAATAAATATATATCCCTGCCTGTATCACAATTTTCTGCTTTAAGCTGTGTATGATACATCAACTCTCACCCCGGGATGCTCTTAAGGTTTAACACTTCTTCCTTATTCATAACATGTTTCTCCCAGGCTTTAAACAAATCCTCCTTTCCTGAGTTGACTACGTGTAACTGACCCCATGCATTCTTGAATTCCTCTTCTCAATCCCCTCACTGGGGCTTTGTCTTCTACACCTGCCTCCATACTGTGAATTTGCACTCATATCATTTACAGAGGGCAAAGGGTCATAAGGAAAATTGTTCGCTAGCCTCAGCAAGAACTGCCTATAAGACAGACAGATACCTTCATGGTTCAGCTTCTCTCCACACTGCCTGTGTACCCTGGTTTCCTGGGTGATGTTCAGGATGTCTAGATTGGATTTGTCCTGTATTCTCAATGCTCTGCATGCCTATGCCATGCAGAGGAGGTGGTTTTATGTTCGGCCTCAGTTCACTCAAGTCACTGATGCCATCCACAGTCAGAAAACCAGGATGAGTGTTGGCTCATAGACACAGAATTCTTTGTACTAGGGCTTTCTGGGTGCTTCCAAAATGTCCCATAAGCTCCTAGTTCACCGGAAATGAGCCCATGATTTGCAGTGTTCCTCTACCTGCAGACTCAGTTGGACTACTCCCTTTTTAGCTAGGCAAGTTAGTATGACAAACAACAGACCTAGATGGAGACCAACATATACAGAGCCTGAATTCTGGAACCTTTATTTTTTTTTTTCCCTGAGACCATGTACCGAATTGGTGCCTTAAATATGATTGTTCATTTTCTAGTTCCTTTTTTTCTGTGGAAATATTTTGGAAACAAAATTTTATAAGAACTATGCTCTCTTCTCTTCCTTCCTAGGCTTTATTTTCATCATCAATATCTTCATTCAGACTAAAGTACCAGAAAAGAGAAAGTAAAACCTAAAAGTAATATCACTTTATCCACATTGCTGAATAAATGGAGACCAGCAATCATGTGACCCCAGCAAACTTTAGTTGACATTTACATTTGGAAAGATTCAAATTAAAGAAATAAAATATGTGTCACTGAGACATTTTTTGGGGTATATTATCATTTTAAAGAATGTCATCCATTCCACCCCCATGTTTGTTAGCTCATTAAAATTTCCATCTGAACTTGGAAACAAATAAGTAGCTATACTAATTATGAGGGATTGGTTCAGGAACTCTCAGTTCCTGTGAGTGGATGATTATAATTGAATAAACATGAGTTGCCTATTGTAACCTACCCCACCCTGCCTCTATATTATAAAGGATTATGAAAATGATGGATAAAAACATCTATTAAACATAAACAAAACTGTATCCTCTAAACAGAATGATTTCCACATAAAATCTATGTGGTGTTTTGTTCTTATTTGAAGTTAGTCAAATATAGCCTGGGGAAATTTACAAAATCAATTCTGAGTTTAAATCAAGAGTGAAATTAAAACTTTAAAGACTGTGAGTGAATTTATAGAGCCAGGTGTAGTTACAATGATGGTACTATCAATGCCCTTGATTCAGAGAGTGTCACATAAGAGGTGTAGAAGCAAAGGCCTGGCAATCTGGCAATTATAGATCTGACTTTAATTTTAGCTACTTTTAACATGAATGACCACAGATTTATTACTTTTCCTTTATAAACTTCAATTTCCTATCTGAATAAAGGGAACCTGAGACAGGCCAAATGTAATATGTTATAACAAGGAGTTCGATAATTCTACAAAAGCATTTAATACAGAAAACTGTTCTATTCAGAGAGGCCAGAGATCAGAGACCTGAAGTATAAATTCAGGATCTCAGGAGACAAGAGGAATGAAGACAGGGAGAGTAGGACAGGAGAAGAAAATAACTTGTGCAAAGGTCATGTATTAGGAGATAAAATTTCATGAAGAATCTGGGAGGTGTCTTCTATTGCAGGGCATCTGCACACCTGTTTTACTTGTCCTTAGCAGCTTAGCAAAGTAGAGGCAAAGGTGACATGCTTTACAATGAACAGGTCATTACCAAAGCAAGAAAGTATTGAAGGATTTGAAAGGTGAGCAATGTGATGTGGTATTATTTATATTTCTTTGCAATATAGGAAAAAAGATTAGAAGGGTAAGGGAGACACAGAGTCAAGGTAGGAGAATATGACATCATCAGGTAAGGCATGATACATGTTTGTATGACATTAGTGATAACCATAGTCGAGAGTAAAAAGATGGAAATGAAAGGTAGTTAGGCTGAAATACGTAAGGACTAGATGAAGATGCTAGTAACTAAAAACATGGTGGAGGAGGGTTAGACTTGGAAGGAAAGATATGAAACTCAGCTTTGGATGTAGACAATAAGATAACCAGGTAGATATGTAAAGTGGATATTTAATTATGTAGATTTAATTATGGAGATTTGTCACCTCAGATGAGGTGGCAAGACTCCAGATATAAATATTTAGGGAATATACATATACTGAAAGAAAGTGTGTTATAAGCTAGTCCAGGGGAAAATAAAGAATAGTAAGAATATCTGAGATAAATTTTTGAGGTACTCCAAAAGTTCATATAAGGTAGAAGAGGGTCTTGGAGAGGAGGTGAAAGGAGCAGTTAACCAGGCAAGGAAACAACAAGGAGAAACAAACAATAACAACAAAACATGATAGTATTGTGAAGAAAACATAGAGGCTTTTCTAGAAGGACAGCCTATTGAATGCTCTCAGAGGGCAAGTGAAATAAACACCTTTAATTTGGTGAGCTAGAGGCCACTGGAGAACCTGCATAAGCTCTT